ATCAATAAAATTATGAAAAAAATATCTGATATGTGTTAGTAAATTTGGGAACAAAACAAAATTATCAAAAGAAAATTATCCCAAATAAAACATTGTAAATGCCTCTTCATACCGAAAGCATAAGTCTGTGTCTATCATAATATGATTTCAGGAAAAATAAATTTTTAACAAGAGTAAATAACAAACTCTGTTGTAAAAGCTATAATATTAGATTAAATCAAACTGACTTTGTTATTATTGTTACTTTTTTGTATTTAGTACAGGGTCTACAGGGCTCACTACACAGATTGGTCTTATAGTGATCCTCCTGTTTTCTGTCTCCCAAGCTCTGGGATTACAGGTGCGTGCAATCATGCCCAGTCTCAGTCACCATCTCAGCATGCCCTGGGGGTTGAACCTCAGTCCCTGTGTCTGCCTGAGGAGGTGCTTTAGTCTGCTGAGCTATGTGGCCAGCCCCAAGCTGACTTTAGATGTCAAATATGACGACTTGATTGAAAGCACTCTATTTGATATATTCTCCATTGTCGGGGCCTAAGGCATTTTTATTTATTCATTCAATTATTATCTCAAAAGTATCTACTTAATAGTAACTGTATGTGAGGTAGTGCAATAGAGAGATAGAGAAATATACATTTGAAATAGTGTGCAATATGTATTGCTAAAACCAGCACTTATGTCTCAGCTATGCAAAGTCTAAGAGAGGTCATTCTAAGAGACAAATATAAATAACTACATAGCTATATAAAGTAATTGTATGTACTTAATGGAGCACAATGTGATATTTCAGTACATGTATACAGTATGTAATGATTGTGTCAGGGTAAGTGGTATATCAATCACCCCAAATATTTATCATTCTTTTGTCTTGAGAACATTTAAAATCTTCTCTAAGAGCTATTTTCAGACATGCCATTGGCAACCATTATTGTTCTATTGGGCAATGAAATAATTCCTTATTCCTCAAGTCCAACGGCAGCCCTGCTGCCCTTATTCGTGCTGGCCCTTGATTTCCCCTCTATATCCCTCCAAGGCTCTCCTAACAGCTATTATATTCTCTACTGACGCCAACATTTTGGGTTACATGTACAGATTAGAGCATGCAAAGTATTTTTCTGTACCAAACTTATTCCCTTAATAGTATATCTTTTCCAGTCCCATCTATGTAAAACAGGTTTTCAAAGTTAGCCAGAAACTTCAAGTGGAGGTTCAGAGACCAAGGAAGACACTGAAGAGTGGCTCTGCCTTCTTTATCTCATGGCTCTTCACATCTCCATGTTGATTTGTATTGAGTCACAAAAGGTGAAAACATATGGAGCAGCTCCATGGGCATTTTTTTTTGGGGGGGGGCAGATGAGTCCTGAAGCCACATGACTATGAGTGCATGGGAGTCTGCAGAACATAGAATCTAGCAAGAGAGGGTTTGTGTCTATCAGTAATCCCCTCCGAAGGTGCTGTGGGATCATGGCTGGGGGTTGGTCAGGGAAGAATCTCTGAGGGAACCTGGATGAGCGGCAGCTAACCAGGTGGAGACGGAAGACCTATGCAAAGATGATCCCTGTAACAGAAGGAAGGATGCATGCAAATCACACAAATGAGAGCAGGAAGTGAAATTAAGAAATTACAGCATGGGTAGGTCCCCTTGAAGGAGCAGAAGGAAAGCTGAACAAGAGAGACAGTAGATACCTGAGATTATCCGTGTCGTATGTTACAAACTTCATGTTCCCTTTACATTACTCTATTTTCAGGGTAGCAGCTAAAGTAAGCAGAACAAGAAAAGAATCAGTGAAGTCAATAAGGGAGGCACAGTAGCCGTACAGGCAGAAAAGGTGAAAAGTCTTCCATTGTGTGAGTGGGAAAGAAAGAAAGGATGATTTAATCGACTTCCGGGACATAGGTGCTACGAAAGTTGAAAGACAACTTAAGGGCAGGATGGGCTGAAGTAGGTGCTGAATGATAGTAATTCTGACTTCATGGGGAGATCACAAGGTAAAAGAAGGCTGCCTTCAGAGACACGGGGGAGGAAGCCTGTGTCACCCAGAAATCCATGAGATGAGTAGCAGAAAATGTAACTTTGCAAAATCTGAAGAAAAGTAAAGGAAGACCAAAAATATTCATGTCAGTGTCAAAATTAAAGTCACACTGAGACTTGATAAGAGCAATTTGAGGGATTGTTTTTGTTCATGTGTTGTTTTGTTTGTGGGTACAGGGATTTGAACTCAGGTCAAACTCAGGACCTTGAGTTTGCCAGGTAGGCCCTGCACCACTGAGTCCTCCCCAGCTCTTGATAAGAGCAATTTGAGAAGTAAAGCTCACTGTTGATTAGTTAATAAGCACAGCAATAACATCGGAAACAATAAAACACTACAAGAATCTTAAACATTTATCATAATTACCACATTGGAGTTTAAATTATTCAAAAGTAAATGGAAATGCACTTTAGTATTAATCACAATTATATTGGATGAAGTTTAAGGGAAATCTGAGTATACTATGAATGTTAACAAAATCTACTTCAGAATCACTGGAGCTTCAGCACTGGCATTTCACCATGTGAAGACTTTCGCCTCTGCCTAAATTTCTTGAAAATTTTGAAGATAATAATTTATATGGTTACTATTACTAAAATATCATGTGTAATGCTTAAATTGATTATAATATTTTCAAAATGACAATATCAAATGATAGAAAAGGATGTTAAAAGAAGGAATTCTAATTTATGGAATTTATGACAACACAATTTCAAAGTATGCTGAAACATTTTTTGAAATACTATGCTAAATAATATGCTTTGGTTCTCATTTAATGATCAAAGATAAATATTTTAATAGCAGATGTTTCATCTGTACTACAATCATATGAAAAAGATAAAGAACAATTTATAGAAAATTACCAGAGTCAGAATGGATGAAATAGAAAATAGTATTTTTATTAGGCAAATAATCTCTCAAACAGGAAAATGAAAATACTGCTCTGTATGGAATAATAATATCTCAAAAAAAATAAAAGTAATACACTTTATGCATATTTTTTATAAAATCATTATTACCTTTAAAATTAAAACATCTCTTTCTTGCTTCATATCCCAGGATATAACAGGCATTTATATTAAAATTACAATGTAGTACATTATTACAAATAAAAAACAGAAGTGAGATATTTTTAAATTTGGTAATTTTTGGTTTTGTTTTTTGTTTAGTCAAAGAATAAAGTAACTTTCCATTTTAAAAAATAAGTCAAACTATAGATCAATTCACAAAGCACTACAAAAGTCAGATTATTTTCACAGTAGAAAATCAGCAAATTTATGAACCAATTACCTAATTATTCACAGATGACCCCACAAGTGTTCTACAAAACCAAATTTTCTAGGCCAAGCAAATAAAATTCACCAACAACATCAAATCTGAAGTAAAAAGACAAAAGTTGGAGTTCTAACTTGCCACCAAAGAGCTTTATAACCTCACTTTGGCCAATTAACTTCCCTGAATTTCTGATCCCTAATGCACGGCATTAAAATAATGAAACCAGCTTCAGTAGCATTTTGCTAGAAACAAATTAGAATGTGTGAGAAAATTCCTGTGCAGCATAATTGTCCAGGTTCTACAAGCAGTGTTATAAAACACATTTATTATGCTGTGAGCATCGTCCGTAATCTGAGAAGGCACTGGGAGCGCAGCACGAGAGACCATTGGTGGACCTCCCAGGTGCAGAAGCATTAAATGTTAAACTAGATGCTGTAAAGTCAAATGGGCTTTCTTGTGGTTCCTGGGGACAAGATAAAGCTCTGGGAAATGGCAGTACAGACATTTTTTAATTGAGTTACTGTAATAGGAGGGAGAATAATACTTTGTGTTTCTTCAGTTTGTTTTGTTTTGTTTTGTTTTGTTTTGTTTTGTTTTGTTTTGTTTTGCAGAGTCACTAACATACACATGAGTGACCAGTGGGCACTGTGCACCCTCACTGGATAATGACAATCAGCAGTTTTCATGTTCATATTCGATTTAAGTGCTTCTTGTTTGTTATCCCATTAAATCCTCACAACTTAGAACGAAACTCCTTTATTTCCCCCCACCTTACAGGTAAGAAATGAAGGGATAGAGAGGTGGTTTCACTTGCCCAAAGGTTCATATGTAAATTTTGTGGGGTGGTCGAGGTAGAGATTCCATGCCATGTCCGGTTGCTAGGTCTAATATTTAATAATCTCTATACATCAATAGTTTACCTCACCTGCATGTGCCATTGTATTATTCCTGTTATTAATTATCTTAATTGGTAAGCTTTGATCCTCAGTACTATGATTCATTCTGGCTGCACTATAAATACTTCCAGATAATTTGCTTTCCCAAGAAGAAATCCTTCCAGATATAAATTTCCTGTGTTGTGGCTAAAGAAATGAAACAAATTATAATTACTCACCAGCTCATTAAAGTCCAAAATGTATCCAGACTAGGACTAATACTCAATTGTTTATTGACCTCATTGGGAAATTCCAAGCACAAAGCCCAGAGAAATAACCAGCTAATCTAGACTGAAGGCCAGATTGAGAGTCAGTGTGGGAGACCAGAGAGGTTTAACTGGCCTCTTCTGTCATCATGAGAAAGCAAGGCAGTGGGAGTGCATGCTGACGCATTGCAGAGAAAAGTGAAACAGCTGAGATGCAACTGTTTACCTGGACAAGTCCCATGAATAGTGGGACACAAATGAATCCTGTTTTACTCTGATTGCTGGTGCCCCTGTCTGTGTCTGAGGGAATAAAACCAGGGTATATCAGCTCCTTAGAGCTCTTTGTCAAAGGGAGGCATGAGCCCCTGGATCTCCATGTTTTAGCCTACTTCTGTGTCTTTGCTTTCCATCTTCATTGCCCCTTGCTCAGGTACAAGCTCATAGGTTGACCACTGACAGACGCACCTGAATAGGCAGCTTGCTGAGGAAGTCCTCCTGGGAGAAAAGTGCAGCGAGTCAGCCACTGGGACCTCTATAGTGGAGGTACCAGCTAGTAAGAAGAAAACAACCAAAGGGAAAGAAACAGGAACATGAGCATACACAACAAAGTCAGTCAGGGTCATGGGGCAGAGTTCATTGTTTGAAGTACTGTGTTATGTTCCTTGTTTGGAAATTCTGTTGTGACAGTCTAGGGCTCAAGTACACAGCCAGTTGATTTCTCATGGGTTGTGGAATCTCTCAAACAGATGGGTGCATTGTATGTAGAGAGTTGGGATCAAGTGAGAGAGAGCTTTGAGTGTGCTTATCCCCAGGATTCTGTTATATCCCCTGAAGCTTTCTCCATATGAAGCTTGGTCCTTGTGGTCCTTTATTCTTCAACTGCAGAAGAACATCCCAGTCCTAGCACACCCTTGAGAGAGGATGAAGATGAAGGTAAAGAGCGCCGGTCGATGTCTCTTCCTTCTCATTTTCCTCTTCCCTTCTGTGCTTGAGACAAAAATAATGTTGTATTGTTGTTAGGTTTTTTCAGGGAAGTAGAGACAAGAACAATAAAAAAGATCTTTATTTCTGGCACAGGGAAGACCACAGGAAAGGACAGATGTGGAACTTCCAAGGGCCTGTCCTGGGAACAAGGCTATCTAGGGCCAGGGTGGAAGTGGGGTTCAGGCAGCAGTCTGTATGAAACGGCAGATAGTGTTTGAGCATGAGGTGGAAATAAGGAAACAGGACATTGTGAAAAGGAAGTAGGAAGTTATCATTGGACCAGGGAAGAAGAGGGTAGAGCATAGCACATGGCCTCCAGTGGCCTGTGCCATATTGGCTGTCAGACATAATGACCTAGTAGAAGTTTTTTAATAAGGCAGATAAAGCCCATCATTCCCATCTTTTTGTTATAGTGGGCAATGACTCAGACTGCTTCCTACTGAGTAGGGGCACCATCATTGTAGGGGTAAGGGGTCCATAGGCACTACCTTTGTGGAAGCCAGTGTTGGGCATTTCTGCTAGTACAATGAGTTCACTGGCAGTGATAGCATGGAGCCTGGATTATATAAATACTTTTTAAAACTTTGAAAACATAAACAGGTTGTTATTGTGATTGGGAGACCTAAGAGAAGAAGCAGGAAGGGTATCCATGATCAGAATGTGTAATTCCACCAAGAGCAGGGCAAGAGGAAGAGTATTGATTTTCTTGTTCCTGATGTTTGTGCTCTAGGGCTTAGGACAGTGGTTGCCCTGAGAAGTGCCCTGAGTCTAGTTAGAGCTAAGGGAAAGAGCTGAGGCTAAGACAGAGAGGCTCCAGGATAAGTTTGGTGAGGAGGGCCTTCAAAAGCCTGTTTGCCTCTATTAATCTAGATCTGCTGACTGTGGCATAGTTTGCCCTTTTTTGTGTCTGTGTTTGTTGAGTTACCATAATCTGTGAGCCATGTGTCAGAATAGATGTAACTGCATTATTGATAACTCTGAGATCTTGAGCTAAATTATAGGAGCCATTAGGTTTAAGTAAAGGAAAAATGGGAATATTGTATGGTGGATGGGCAGTTTTAAGGAAAGCATTGGCAAGGAGATGTCAAATTATAGGCTTGATTAAATCCCCAGCACAACATGCCACTCCAGCTCCATGCCTGGGTGCACTGAGCCAGCTACCATGACCTGGTGTGGCAACACACACCTGTAATCCCAGAACTGGGTAGGCTGAAAACAAGAGGATCTTGTTGATTCTGAGTTGCATAGCGACACCCTGTACCAAATACACATTATAGGCTTGAGTCCCATTGATGTTTAGGGCCTGCTGGGTATTGGGGAATGCAGAGGAAGGCTGAGGGACCCTGAGGTGAATTAGTCCAGGGTTAACACAAGTGCCACAAGTATGGCCTGGAAGTGTCCCAGAGTATGTGTTCAACAAGAGAAGGAGGAGGGAGCTGGTAGCTCATTGAGGTTGGGTTTGTAGGATGAGCACTGTGCAGAGAGTGAGGTGAAAGAGAAGTGGAGATTTTGCAGATCTCTCCCCATGAGAGATGCAGGGCAGGTTGGGATTACAAAAAAATTATGAGTGAGAAATAGTGTCTGGAGTTGGCAGGGAATGGACCCTGTCAAAAGGAGACATGCAGGTCAGTCATCAACTCTCACTATGGAGACTATAGATCTAATATAGCAATGTGAAAGCTTAGGAAGAACACTATATGTGGCCCTTGTCTCAACAAGAAGAGTCCTACCTGAGATGTTCAGTGGGACATGGGGCAGGGTTCTGATAAAGATACCTAAGTGGGGGTCGAGGAGCCTGAGCCCTGTTGCTCCTCTTCAGTAGCAAGACCAAGTGGGTCAACTATCAATGGATCTGGCTGCAGTGAGTTCTGTGAGGGCAGGGAATTGGATAGCTTACCTGCTCTCTGGAAGATAGGGAAGTCACATTTCCAGTGATGCTCAAGCTTGTAGATGGGACCAGGTCCCAGTGATGGCCACATGTTGGGGCAGGCACGTGCCCAGTGTCCTTCTTTTGCCACACTTGAAATATGGTCTAGGAGACATTCAGGTGGCAATATCAGTATACTTAGTTGGGAGCAATATGCTTAAATTTTAAAATTGTATCTGAGTATTAAGCACCTTGAAATATAAAGTATAACCTGAGAACAGTTATTTCTTACTGCTATGGTTTGTGTTTAGTTGTCTCCACAAAGCCTCATGCAATGATTGGGGTAGGCTTCTAGAGTATGTGATTAATTCATGATCCAAGCCTGGGATTAGGGGTGTGAGTGCTACACCCTCCCTGGGGCAGAGAGCCTGAATATAGTATAAGGAAGGGAAAGAGTCTTGCTAGCTTCCTCAGCACCCTCTCCTCCCTTTGCCTTTTACTGTTTTCTGAACTGCTGCCCTCTGCCATGTGCCAGTCTGCTCCGGAGTCAGCTGAGTATGTACTGAGACCTCCACTAACTGTGAGCTAAATAAACCTTTCATTCTTTAATTTGGGATGTTGGACATTTTGTCCCAGCAATGAGAGAAAGGAACTGAGACACTTAACCAACCATAGACATCCTAGTAGTTAAATCTCAGTAGAATAATACCCAACAACAGTTACATAATTTTGCAGAGACAATTTGGCATCAATAGTCATACATAGAAAATTATCATTCGACTGATGACATCATGAGCAATGGGGTTCAAGGATCTTCCACATTGGGCTTGTAGAAGTCTGTGCTAGCAACTTTGCACTTGTCTCTTTTAGACATTAAGCATTTAACAAAAGCCTGTCTCTCTACATGGCAATATTTAACTTTTTGTGTTAACTTTTAAGAGTTAGCAGCTGAACAAGCTCAACAGAATTGAGCAGTGCTACATCCATAAATTGCAGAAGTGCTGTTGGGACCACTTATATCTAATCGCACCGTTAACTCTCCCAGAGAGGCTTAACAGAAAAAGGCTCTCATAATGAAATAAGCCTACATAACTATTCCTGAGGATGGTACTCCCACTCAGTCCTTTTTACACATTCTTCAAGGACTCCTTGAGCCTTATGCCTGGTTCTTAGCAAGATTGCAGGAAGCTTTCCAGAGACAGAAAAAGCATGTGCAAGCAGCAGAGATTGGTATGTTGCAGCTAACTTTTGAGAATGCTAATAGGCACTATCAACAAGTGCTATGATCTCAGTGACTAAGAAATTAAAGTGTGTAAAGATGTGGGTACTGAAGGTCGTAAGTCTTCTATGTTTGCCCAAGCTGTGATTGGTTTAATTAAATGAAATCAAACTTCTTCAAACATACAATGTTTTAATTGTGGTGAAGCAGGCATATACATAATCACCGTGCTCTACCTCAGGACAAGCGCTGGTAGAACAGTTGAAAATGAGAAATGTCAAACCTGCCACTAGCCCTTGGAATACTCATGTTTTTGTTCTACCAAAGAAAGTGGAGGCTGCTTCAGGATTTAAAAGCTATTAAGGCACGTATTTATCTTATGGCTGCTTTGCGGCCTGGATTGCCCCCTCCCACTACAGTACTATGGAACTGACCTTTGGTGGCTATTGATCTTAAGTATTGCATGCCAGATAAATGTCATAAATAATTTAGGATTAGTAAAAAAAAAAAAAAAGTAGTGTGTAAGAAAGTACAAAGAGTGAGAAGCAGGTGAGCTCATGTGCTGCACGTCTAAGGAGGGTCTAAGTAAGCACAGCATTGCAGCTAGGAATAGTTAGTCAGGACTTACAAGGGAAATAATACAGGACAATTAATTTACAGGATTTTTTTTTATAATAGTCACCCAAAGAGTCATGTACAAAGAGAGTGCAGGAAATATATTCTACACTAAAGACCAAGAGAATCCAGCTGAGGGTCTGGATCCCATGGTAATGTCTTGCATGAGTCCAGCTGAAGACCTAGAGCCCATTACAATGCCCCCATAAAGTCCAGCTGGGGGCTAAGAGCCCACAACAGTGTCTCATGCAGGCCTGTTTAATGACTTTCACTAAGAAGGCCCCAAGATCAATCATGAAAGCTACAAAGTCTGTGCCAGCAGGATGAAGTATCTGTGCCAACAGGCTGGGGGGTCTGCACTACAGACAGGAAGCAAAGCTCAAAGTAAGAACCAGAGCTCCCCCAGAAAGATACCACAGCCCTTATTAGCAAAAGAGAGGTCCTGAGCTCCTGCAAAAATGAGAGTAGCTTAGTTCATATCAGAAAAGCTAGAGAGGCAAGCTTCTCTAGATCGTTGAAAAGTCCAGCATCTTCCCCTACAGATCCAGGAAGAGACAGTCAACGTAAGGACCAGCACTGCCTCAAAGTGAACCATAGCCAGTCTCGATGATTATAAGGTCCCAAGCTCCTTCAATGGTGAGAACAGCCAAGTTTATATCAGGAAAGCCAACCACAGGTACAAAGGATAAAAAAGGATTAGCAAGCATCTCAACTTTGGTGCACACTGCTTAAACAGATGGTCTTTTCTCTGCACACATGCCCCTCTTCCATTATGACCACTGCTCAAGGGCTTAGTGGCTTTGCCAAACGCTGCCTGATTTTTCTGTAAATTTGCCCCATTGCTACTTTTCATTATTATCTAGTCACAAGAATTTCTAACCGCATGAAAAAATTAAAACATCAGGAAAGATGTCTTAGCGAATGAAATAAATATTTGGGGAAAAGATAAACTCGTATGTTTGTTCAAAAAATAGTTTCTATGATATAATCTTCACTTTCATTTGCTGAGTTTTCTTTCATTCAGGGGACTTAGTTATTTACCTGACACATTTTTACGGTACCACTTTCGTAAAAATAACTTGTTTACTTGGTGTATAAAGATGGAGCATTTCAGAGGTGCATATTTTTAAATTACGTTTTATATGCTGGAGATAAGTTTATATTCACCTACTGACGCTTCTTTCCAGTGATTCTTTGCAGTGTTATTATAGGATTGAAAATATTTGCACAATATTATCCTCAATTCTCTTTATTTATTCAGCAAGAGCAAGTTTACATTTTAATACATGGTCTGTTTTAAATGTTTAAAATGATGGGTATGAGTTTTGTTGTTGAGTCCCAAAGGATAAGTCCCAAATGTCTGTGACTCTAAACAAGCTATTGTAATCCCACCCTTCTTCACCAATGATTGGTCTGGGTGTGAACATCTAGAATTTGGGATTTAATGTGATGGACTGAAGAATCAGACGCTTCTGAAAAGTGATTTTTTCTCACTGATTAAGTGAGATAATCGCATGGTCAGGAGCCCCTTTCTTCCTTCCCATCTCCTTTTCCAAGCTTTGGATTCTTCCATGAGAGGATTGAACGTTTGGATCTGCAGCAAGTATTCTGTGACACAAAGCAAATATCAGGAGAGATAATGAAATAGAAAGACAGCATCATGTTAAACAAAAGGGGGGAAGAGTTCTCCAGAGGAAGAGACTGTGACACCACTGAACTACTGAAGCAACCCTGAAATTGCTTGTCTTTATGTTAATGAAAGTATTCATAAGCATTATAAAAACTTTCTTTCTTTAATGTAAAAAAAAATTTCTTATGGCATAAAATGGCTGTTTCTCACGAATAAGCCAATGATGACGCAGAAAAGCATAACAACACAAATTCCATCACCCATTCCTCTTTATCATTCAATATGCATGCTGTTTCTCACATGTTAGAAGAGGAAGATTATCAAAATTAAGCAGGACATGTTCCCTCCAACCTTGGACTCACTTCTCATGTCTTAGAGCAGAAAGTCAACTACTTAGCATATATTTATCTGTTTTGGAAGACAATGACAATGTTGGAAGAATCAGTATTGAAAGCTTTACAACGTCCTCTTCTGTTTTTGTCACCACCAAAGTTTACTACCTGAAAAATTATTCAGGATGGTGCCACTGCATTGCAAAGGCTTAACCTCACTTCCTTCACGATGACTCAATCTTCTAACATCAAGACGTGGTGAATAAGTATCAGCCGTGCTAGCATAAATTCCTTAGCCATCTCATCCTTGATTTAAACATCCTGTAATGAATAAACACTATAATTCCTTTATATAAATCTTCCAACCACAAACCAAGCATGGTGGTTCACAACTGTAATCCCAATACTCTGAGGCAGGAGGATGGTAAATTCAAGCCCAGTCTCTGGATAACTTAGCAAGA